CAGGACGTCCAACTCTTTGTTTGTCACTCAAGTCAGATGTTCCCACCACAACATCTTTAAACTTACTTGCCCAACGACGCGCAGTACTCACTACACCATAAACAGCTTGCATTCTCCGATGAATCTCCTTTGGGGTGACACCTACTGTCAAGAATTCAATGACTGCACATTGACCAACTGTCTGTGCAGGGTTCCATACTTTGCACTTTAACAACACAACTGTTCAATGCTAAGGTTTTCTGCCAAAATGGAACTGTAGAGGAGAGTCTACTGAACAACCAGTACCTGCTGCATACCAATACTACCATCGGTTGAGAAGTTACGAAGGTGGAGGCATTACTTTTCATTCAACCATCATATATTATATGTGATGTACATATATCAGGCATGGGCAGACTTTTTGACCAACATGAACTTAACAGTATTTCAGTGGAAGACCCCAGGGGCCATCTTGTTCAACCCACTTCTGCCATGAAGGAAAAAGCACCTCCCTGAGAGGTGGGCAGGAAATAGGATTTTGGAAGGAAGCAAGGCAAGATGGAAAAGATCTGGGCGGCAAAGAAAAACAGCTTTTGGCAGTGAGGGAAGTGAGGAAAGGGCTTTTGGAGATGAGGGAGGTGAGGGGAAATGCTTTTGGAAACAACGGAAGTGGGGAGAAGGCTTTTGGCAGCGAGGGACTAGGAAAAAAGGGGAGGGAGGAGGAGGAGGGAAGGAAGGCTTGGGCCCCTCATTATACTTGTGAGGCCCCAAGGGCTCTGTGGAGCACACTTTGAGAACCACTGGACTAGGGTGTTGTGTTTTGGAATGTGGGGCCCAACCAGCCCGTGAGCTCACGGGACAGCCTTCGGCTTGTCACTATCAGCCTAACCTACCTCACAGGACTGGTATAAATATAAAATGAGAGAATCAAATGCATGCTGCCCAAGTATCAAAAGAGGGGCAGGGCAAGCATCAAGTCTTGGTCATCTACAGCCAGAGCCATTTCAATGACCTGTGTCTGAACTATAGTCCTGTCACTCTGACACTTTGTCCTTTCTTAGATGATGGGTAGCATTTGGCTCAATGGTTCCTAATTGAGTCTCACTGCTTTCTTTTCAGGATGGAAAAAAAACAAGATTGTGGAAACAGCTACCATTTCCCCCTCATGGCCTCGCACTCATTTCCCCTTAAGTCTAGATAGCGAAAGACTGGAGTTTCTTGAGGATACTGGATCCAAAATGCATCTAGCTTGAGCCAAACACAGCCAACTCATATCAGGCATCCTTACACTTCATTTCCTTGACTATACATGACTTTGGTCTGCTCTGCACTATCCCAAACCCATCTCAATGTTGGATTGGGCCAGGTCTCATAGAGGGCTTGTGGGAAACCATGTAGGCCCCTTCTACACTGCCATAAAATTCGGATTATCTACTTTGATCTGGATTATATGAGTCTACACGGCCAGATAATCCAGTTCAAAGCAGATAATCTTGATTTTCTATGGCAATGTAAAAGGGGCTGTAGTAGTCAACTGGGAAAGCCCTTGAAGCTTAGCATGCTGAGGTGCAGATGGGATCACTGAAAAGACCCACATCTCCTTTAGGAAAAGTAAGAACACCAGGTTTTCCACTCCTTGAACTGTGGGAAAATTTAGCCCCACGCGGTGCATTCTATGAGAAGAAAGTAGAAAAACATAGCAGGGTATTTTTTGTTCTTCTGCTTCAAAAGCGTACTTCCTGAAAAAGCTGGCCCCGATCCTTCAACCATGTACGGCATTTTTGTACGGTTAACTTCTGAACATTATTTCCATGCTATTTTTTAAAGCTTTACTTATAATAAACTTGTTGAGCCTTTGTTTATTTTATTATACGTCACTTGCTGTCTCACTGAGTCAAGCAGATAGGCTGCTGGGTGAAACATATTAAAATGTTCTTTGTCAAAGATATGAGCGCAAGGGACAGCTCAAGTAGCAGCAACTTTAGCTCCTATGTGCTAGTTTTAATTGGGAAATGTATCTCTAGGGAGGATGAGCTCCAATGACCTTTTCAATGAGCAGAATGTATAAGGTAGAGCGTGCCTTCTGTATGCCCAACGGGATGGCGGGGTGCCTCAGCTGAAGGGCCCCTTAGATTTCCAAACACAAAGTTCTATTGAGGCTCAAAATAAGTTCAACAAAGTTCTTTATTTGGGCTTAAATCTTCAAACAAATGAATTAAACACTTTATAACCTTGGAAAACCGGTAGCTTCCGCAATCTGCCATCAAGGGCAGGCAACTGGTGGTAAACTATTCCTTTCTTCCTTAGGGAAATCTTCTGTCCCCTCCTTGGGCAATCTTTCTTTACCTTGCTGGCGTGAGGCCCCTACTCCCGGCTCCAAGCTACTTTATGGATAGCCCAAGTGGTCCATTACTAGACAAGATTTCTGTAGATTTGCCAAGCTGAAAGGTGTCCTTTAGTTTTACTCCACGAAGGCTGTAGGAACTGTCCTGTTGCCCCAGCTAAGGCTGGCTGTATTCCCACAGCAAAGCTGTGGAACTATTCCTTTACTCCCCCAGCAGAGCTGTGAGTAGTGAAGCCTTTGTGCAGGTGGGATAGAGAAACCCACACGTCCTGCTGTTAGGCTCCAAACAGTGAGACTAAACAAAAGTCCTCCTTTGCCTCCAAAACCCTGGGGAAAGGGCAGGTCTAAAGACTCTAACAATGATTGCCAGGTTGCTGGCCCTATGACTGCAACCTGGGGAAGCTACCTGATTGCAAAATGCATGGCTTAAATAAATTCATACAAACTAGCAGTGCAAGAAAAAGAGGTTCAAATCTCCTGGCACTTCCATGCCAGCACAATGACAGTTATATATTAATGATGATGCCATTGTGAGAATTCATCAGACAAAAACATTGGGTAACAGCCTCCTAAAAAAGACGATTGATATTGGCATCTGTCTGCTTGAAATAGTCGTGTTCCATAGCATCATATTTTCCAAGTATTATCCATGAGAGACCTATCTATATTGAGTAATCAATCTGTTATCTTTAAATAGAGACCCCATTAGCCCTACACTGAAATGTAGCAAACAAAATATTAAACTAATGGAAGAATAATTAAATTAAGAAATTATGCAGTAGTTAAATATGTATAAGAAAAATAATAAAGCCTGTCAAACTTATTTGGTTTTTAAATTCTGCTTTCATCTTAAATGTATAAAAGTTTGGCAATCTAAATATGTTTTATTCTAAACATATTTAGATTTTAAACTGTGTCAAACTCTTCTGGTTCTGGAAATTAACAAAAATTTTAACGGTCTCAATTCAACAATCCACCCTTTTAAGATTAAAAGTGCATTCAACTGTGAAAGCTGTTCAGCAGTGGAACTCTCTGCCCCGGAGTGTGGTAGAGGCTCCTTCTTTGGAAGCTTTTAAACAGAGGCTGGATGGCCATCTGTCGGGGGTGCTTTGAATGCAATTTTCCTGCTTCTTGGCAGGGGGTTGGACTGGATGGCCCATGAGGTCTCTTCCAACTCTATGATTCTATGATTCAACACTTTTATTTGGCAATTCCAAACTTCCCGATATATCAAAGGCAGTGAGGGGATGTTATGTTAGTGTTCCAAAATATCATTTGACTGTAGAATAAACTATATTAAACATCCGACTTTATATATCAAAATAACGGCTGTATTCTCACACAAACACTGATAAGTTTACTAGAGTTTAATTTAATTTTCTTGAGCCCACGGGATATTTTTCTAACCATGTCAATACAACCCACACAAGATGAAGCTCCTTGATGATAGTGTATGTATTTCAACCACATTTTATGCTACAGAAAAAGTTAATAGGACAAGATGTAACCACAAATATTTTCACCACAATTCAGAAAAGAGTATTATACTTTATGAGCATTACATAAAGCTGTGCATAGGTCGTACAGGGCCATTGTAGACATTTTAGTCCCAATAAATGTTATGCAGGAAATGATAATAGATAAGTGACCTAGGTTGCTAAACAAGTCATGCTGTTTGGTCTGATTATCTTTCCCCCGTCCCCTTCCCCGTCCCTGTCTCCAAATATTTTTACAGGTATTTTGAAAATGTGCAATTCCATCATCTACACTCTTGTCCTGCTGAAATTGTAATTTCCGTGTGATACAACTCCTTCGTGCTAATCACCTGGTTGGCCTTGCTCCAAAAAATAGCCAAAATTACAATAAGTCAATTCAATTTATTCATATAATGGTTAGAATACCGAGATGTAAACTCAAACTATCATTACTTACCGGTACTTGTTGCAAACTTCAGAATTCAAACTTGGCCATGGCTACATAACTAATTATTACAAGGTCACTTTCCCACATTGAGTATATTTTTGAGTGATCTCTTATATAGCAAAGGCTATTATATGCCAGTTTCTTTAAGATGGCACAATGTACACTGGGTCTCACCAGAGACTGGTACAAACCAGATGCAAGTGCTGGCATTAAATTGCTATGTTGTACCAATGTTTTGAGATAGCAATATATGAATAGGATCTCCGAAGCATTTAAATAAAAAAAATCATTTCTATTTCCATCTTTGTTGTTGAAACTGTTTTTTTCCAAACTAGCACCCCCTCAGATGAGGTAGGCTACTGTTTCTTTCAACCATAGCCAATTTGATCACTCTTCTGTTGGATGTGAATGGTGAGAGCTGTAGTCCAAAACCTAGAATATAGAGGGCATTAGGTTGGAGAAAACTGGTCTGTCTGATCATAGACTTAGGCTGCATCTACACTACCCTATATCCCAGGATGGGTCTGTTCAATGCATGGTTCTAAAGTACTTACAAAACTAAAGTTCTGGTGGTGAAAATTTCAGAACTCTTTCAAAATTCAATTATTATTTCATTATTGGCGATTTTTATGACAGATCCAATTAGGAACTGCCATTTATAATTAAATTTTGAGAGTTTGTTAGAGTTCTGAAATTTTCACCACCAGAACTTTAGTTTTGTAACTACTGTAGAACCATTTAGAACCATACATTGAACAGGCCTATCCCGAGATCTGATCCCAGATTATGTACTTTGAAGTGACAGTCTATATCAGGGGTCCTCAAACTTTTTAAACAGAGGGCCAGGTCACAGTCCCTCAAACTGTTGGAGAGCTGGATTATAATTTGAAAAAAACATGAATGAATTCCTATGCACACTGCACATATCTTATTTGTAGTTCAAAAAACCACTTAAATGCAATACAATATTAAAATGAAGAACAATTTTAATAAATATAAACTTATTAGTATTTCAGTGGGGAGTGTGGGACTGGTTTTGGTTGATGAGACAGGATTGTTGTTGTTGTTGTTGTGTGCTTTCAAGTCATCTCAGACTTAGATTGACCCTGAGCGAGGGCCGGGTAAATGACCTTGGAAGGCCATATCCGGCTCCCAGGCCTTAGTTTGAGGACCCCTGCTCTATATTGTCAGATAATCTAGGATAAACAGATAATCTGGGATCAGATCCTGGAATAGAGTGCAGTGTAGATGCAGCCTTATTTGCTAATGATGGATAGATTACCACATTATCTACTTCTCATAGGATACTTCAAACAGAGGGGACAAAATTCTTCTTACATTCTTACATTCTTCTTCTAGGATGGTCAGATCAAGGATGCATAGAAGAATTTAGTCATTTTAGTCATGCGTGTGTAAATAGTTATCATCTGTTATGTTTAACAGGAGTGACTAGTGTAGCCCTTCAAACTCTGTGTTCTTGCCTCTTTCTGCAATCGTGTCAGTGCTGGAAAGAGGGGCAGAAATGCGAGGAGAGGGTAAAACAATCATCTGGAAAGAAGAACAGAGAGACCAAACAGCATGTGAAAGACACTGAACAATAGCATTTGAACATCTGAAGCCTGGAATACACATAAGAAAAGCCAGTAAGTAAGATAAATGTCACAAAGTAGTAGCTGATAATTGGAGTAAACAATGGCCCTGTTTGCAATCAGGAGTATCAAGGCCCAGCACAGCTCTGCTACATTGCTACTTTATGAACTCCTGATATATGTTAGAACGCACAAATCTGGGAAGAGAATCCTTCTCCATCAGCATGAAGATCTTCTTCTGAGCCAGGTCAAAAGTACTCTCAGATGGTTCCACCAGATTCTTCATGGTCACAGACTTGGTGAAATGATCAATGTTTACCTGGTAAAAGAAAAGCAGAAAATATCCCAGTGGTAATGGCACCAATCATATTTTTTTCACAGCAAGGCAGCTACCAAAAATATACTTTATTGCAAAATTGCCAATATCTTTCTTCCAGTGAAGCCAATCTGGAGCTGCGTTTGTTAAATATAGCCAGGTAAAACCTGTGCATATATCATAGCTGAAGTAAATATGCATGCAATATCTCAGTCACAAATTCAAACTAGTGAAATATGTGTATTTGTAGGAGAAAATGGGATGTAAACTCCAGATGCTGAAGCATACAAAGTAGTTTTAGGGCCAGTTTATCTGTGGCGCAGCTGGCTGGCAGCTGCATTAAGATCACTACTGACCAAAAAGTCATGGGTTCGAAGCCAACCCAGGTCGGAGTGAGCTTCCGACCAATTTTGTGTAGCTTGCTGTCAACCTTTGCAGCCTGAAAGACAGTTTCATCTGTCAAGTAGGAAATTTAGGTACAGCTTATGTGGGGAAGCAAATTTAACTAATTTATGAGGCCATAAAAATCTCCAGCAAGCATGCAAAGAATGAGGAAGTACTTCATTAGTGTTGGTTAAGGGTCAGCTCCCCTGGTGGCCAGAATACCCTCAAGAAAAGCTGGAATGTTAAATTGCCTCTGTGTCTGTCTATATACATTGTGTGTCTATGGCATTGAATGTTTGCCATGTATATGTACATTGTAATCCGCCCTGAGTCCCCTGCGAGGTGAGAAGGGCGGAATATAAATACTGTAAATAGAATAAATAAAATAAATCTGGGCCTCTTTCTTCCTAGTCGCAGGTTGCCTCTGCTGATGCCAGCACTGGGCACCTGTGATGGCCAGGAATTCACACAGGACTATGCAGACATCTGGGAGTAGTGAAAACAGTGAAATAGGCATGATCTGTCTGCTGATAAGCACAGGGAAATGGTACCCCATGTAGACAGAGAACCAGTGCAAATCAGATTCAAGTGACCACACTGCCCCATAGCTACAAGTTTTAGTTTCAAGTAAACTTTGGAGCATCCCCTGCCTTTTCTCAACATAGGATGTAACCCAGGTTACCCATCAATCCCTACCAAAGTGCAGGGTCATCCTGAAAATAGTCAGGATCAAACTCATGGTATGGTTTATTATGCTCATGTAGATGAGACTGTCTTAGACTACAATTTATCAGGCTCACTTTTGCTTTCCAGATTCTGAGATAGGATCCTGTTACCTTTTACTAAAGCAACATTCTCTTGGAACTCTAATTTAACTTCCATAATGTTTATCGCACAACATTAAATGTGCAGGATCTGAATGTTAATCAACTGAATATCTAGTAAGCAAAGTTTGAGGCTGTCTCAGGGTCAGGGTGTCTACAAAACATACACCCACCAATGTGAACTACAACATTAATCTAGCCAGAAACAGCATGATAAAAAAACTCCCCAGAATTTCCAGATCAAGCCATAAAACCCAGTGAAGCTCACCTATTTGTAAACACTGCATAGGAAGAAGCTCAATGCCAAATGCAGAGCATCTATGTAGGCAGGGCTAATGCTGGAGCAGTCGGAGCAATAAACCAGATACACAGCTTGACCAGAAGGTAAACAAATACCTTTCCCTTGGAAAGGAAACACAGCGTTCCCGTGGAAATACACAATTGCCATCTCTTGCCTTGCCTTGCTGCAGTCAAGCACTGAGAAGCTGGGTTTTTTTTACCAGCACCTCCCACTGGACGATGTAGGGGGAAAATAATCTATGGATTGGCTTGATTCACACACAGAAGATCTTTGTGATAATCTTACCAGCTTCCAGCCAATACGTAGGATGCCGGTATAGGCACTCTGAAGTAAACCGGATCTCTTAAATCCCCAAATTACATACAAGATAGGTTTTGTAGGTTTTTTTTTCTTAAGTTTAATTTGTTTGAAAGTCAGATCATATACATTTTTAAGTGTAACTTCAGCCATATATATGGCTGAATATATATATATATATATATATATATATATATGCATAAATAGCAAAACAAACATCACAGGGATGTTAACCCTTCCCTATGCTATCCAAAACACTATTATATATATATATATATATATATATATATATATATATATATATATAGTGTTTTGGATAGCATAGGGAAGGGTTAACATCCCTGTGATGTTTGTTTTGTTATTATGCCCCTGCTAAGAATATTTCACCTCACTTTTTGTCCTGTGAAAATTGGATTTTGAAAATTTTGGTTTATTTGGAAACAAGGTTTGGTGATAAAGCTTCAGTTGAGACACTTTTTCCCCATGATAACTCTTTCAGGAGTGAATTTCCTTTCCTAGGGGTAGATTGGGATATTAGAGGCAAAGATGAAGTATTTTGACCACATAATGAGAAGACAGGAAAGCTTAGAGAAGACAATGATGCTGGGGGAAATGGAAGGAAAAAGGAAGAAGGGCCGACCAAGGGCAAGATGGATGGATGGGATCCTTGAAGTGACTGGCTTGACCTTGAAGGAGCTGGGGGTGGTGATGGCCAACAGGGAGCTCAGGCGTGGGCTGATCCATGAGGTCACAAAGAGTCAGAAACGACTGAACAAATGAACAACAACAGGGGTAGATTTTCCCTCTCTTCTTTTGTCTCACCCCCTCTTAACTATGAGCTGTTTGTAAGTTGGATGTTTGTAACTTGGGGACTGCCTGTATTTTGAAGTTATGGATGGTTGAAGCCATGGATACAGAATCTGTGGATCCTGAGGGCCCAACTGTATAGTAATTCATTCTGAATTTGCATCTATACATATAAATTAGCGCACAGACATGGTATGACACCTTTCCACAACTCTTAGCATGCAACCAGTAGATGTTTTCCCTTTCTATGCAACTGACCTCTTTAGGAGCCTCACTCTGGATAAATTCTTCATAAATTTTCTTGGCCTTTTCAGTCATTTTAGAAGGAATTTTTATTTTCTTATACTCTTCACAAGCAATCCAGAATTCAATGTTCTCCTCACTGAATTCAGACTTGAGGAAGTTCTGGAAGCTGGCAAGCCCATCTGCAAAGACAGAGATTGGGAAATGTTCCACATTTTGAATGATGGATTTATCACATGAGAAGGAGTAAGGGAGACATGAAATGAAAATGGAAGTCAGAACACTATGGTTCGACTCCCACATCAGTTTCTATTTGATTGCACATGCAAATAATTATTGCTATTCTGGAAGAACATAGCTCTACCCTAATTCCTTAATTCTGTTTGATAATCCTGTGCCTTTAGAACATTTAGTATGTAGGACTCTGCATCAAAATAAGTTGGGGAGTCCAATTACTCCAGGAATCTTTCACTACAAATAATTAATACCACTATCTTATTTGTATTTATTTATTTACTACATTTATATACCCTTCTCAACCCGCAGGCGACTCAGGGCAGTTTACAGTCAATATCAAAGACATAAAATACAATTAAAAACAGTTAATTTAGATATAAAACCAAATAAAACAATATCAATAAAAACATATATCAGTTTGAGTCTCCTAGCTGACAGCATTATCCAATAGCGTCGTCGAGTCGTAAATACAGTTATTACAATTTCAAATATATAGTTTAATCTACATATAGCCACGTATCCTTACATTACAAGAACAAGTATTCCCAATTATATAAGAACATCATGGCAGACTTACAGGGATTCTGAAGGAGTTTCTCCAGAGAGTTGCGCCACTGCCAAGCCTCCTCAGCAGAAGGTCTGAAAAGATGAGAGGAAATACCAATGATCCCATTAAATTAAATAACAAAAAAAACTATAATTGAAAACATAAATCACTGATCAATTCTGTTTCCCCAATTTACGACAATTCATTTACCTGCCTTATTTGGTGGAATGAAATGAGGAAGATAGTAACTGCCGTGTTAACGAAAGGAGGAGTTTTCTTTTATTCGCTTAGGGGCTTCATCACATGCAATAAAATCCGTGTTTCTACACACTTAAGAAATGGCTACCGATGGAGCCCATCACATGATGCAAGCTTGTACCATGAGTTCCAGGTATTTTACAGTTTCTAAAGTATCTGTTTTTCCTACATTTCCTAAGTTGATTGATAATCAACTGCTTTTTCAATTCTCCATGTAGATACATGTAAAAACCTCCAATTTAATGTGTAGTGGAAATTCCTCCTTGCCCCTTGTAAACATGATGACATCATCATTGAGGGAAGATCCGAGATGAACAGTTTTGATTCCTTTCTTCTGCCATTACTATTTTGGGACCGAGGGGAAAGGAACGGTAATTTATATCTCTTTTTAAATCTATATAAATAAAAATGTAGTGTTTGTTTGTGGGATTAACGTAACTTCAAAACCACTGGACAAATTGACACCAAATTTGGACAGCATACACCTAACAACCCAATGTATGTCCTTCACTCCCAATGTATGTCATTTGGGAGTTGTAGTGGCAGGGATTTATAGTTCATCTACAATCAAAGAGCATTCTGAACTCCACTAATGATGGAATTGAACCAATTGTAGCATATGGGACTCCCATGACCAACAGAAAACACTAGAAGGGTTTGGTGGGCATTGACCTTGAGTTTGGGAGTTGTAGTTCACCTACATCCAGAGAGCACTTAGGACTCAAACAATGATGGGTCTGGACCAAACTTGGCATGCATATTTCATATACCCAAATATTAACACAGATGTAGTTTGGGGGAAATAGACCTTGACATTTGGGAGTTGTAGTTACTGGGATTTATAGTTCACCTACAATCAAAGAGCATTCTGAACTCCACGAATGACAGAATTGGGGCAAACTTCCAACAGAGAACCCCCATGACCAACAGAAAATATTTAAGGCCATCCAGTGCAACTCCCTTCACCAGGGCAAGAAAACGTAATCAAAGCCCTCCTGACAAAGAGCCATCCAGCCATAGATATAGATAGATAGATATATATTATTCAAACACAGACAGATATAGTATCATAGATTTGAAAGGGACCCCTAAAGAAGGACAATGATATGTTGCATGTTCCAGAGTAGACAAACCACATCAACAATGACAAAGAAACAACAAGAAATACTGTTTACCCACAAGCATAAATAAATTACATATTTTAGAAACCAACACTTTCTCATTATTTTATTTTCTAGATCACCAAACTGGGCCACAGCAACGCGTGGCAGGGGACAGCTAGTGTAAAATAAATAGACTTGCCTTTTGAATTGAGTGCCATCAGTACTTATAAAGAGAAATTGTAATATCTAAAGAAAACAGGAGAGGAGACAGTGGGAGGAGAAATATGTCTCTTGTGTGATGAGAAGGCACACTCTTACTACACTTAGTTGAAACTGTGAAGTTGCTTAAAAAAACTTTGAAAAATCTTACGGAGAATGAGAATTACAGGAATAATAGAATTATAGAGTTGGAAGAACCCACACGGGCCATCCAGTTCAATCTCCTGCCATGCAAGAAAAGCAGAATCAAAGCACTTCTGTCAGATGACCATCCAGCCTTTGTTTAAAAACCTCCAGAGGAAATAACTCCATTGGACTCCCAGGCAACATATTCACTGGTGAACAGCTCTTAATGTCAGGATGCTCTTTCTAATCATCAGGTGGAATCTCCTTTCCTGTCATTGAAACCCATTACTTTGAGTCCTAGTCTCCAGGACAGCAGAAAACAAGTCTTTTCCCTCTTCCTTATTACATCCTTTCTAATACTTAAACATGTAAATCAGATTATTGTCTTACTGGTCAAGAATTAAAATCTGGTAAGGTTGGGAAGGATAAGATTAGAAAAGCAACTACATTTGAAACAGCATCCCATGGCATTCAACTGGCACTCACAGCCTATCCTGTTCCAGCCTTGTTGTTTTCAATGAAATGACTGAAGAACAAATTGCTTAATTTCAACCCTGATTTCTGACTCTAGGAGATGGCTGGCACTTCTCCATTCCTCATTCCAACACAATCCACATAAAGTCAAATCTTGGCCACCTCATTTGTAGTTCATGTCATGTAGTTTTGACAAATGTAGTCTAAGATTACATGTTGCTTGAAGTCTCTTGTTGAAGTTGGAAAAGTTTAATAGAGAACAAATGTGGAAACTCGGGGGAGATGGAGAAGGGCGAATGGAGATCTTGTGCAGGCCCTGATAAAGGAAAACACAGAGAAGAGCTGGGAGGAAAGTGTGAGTGAAGACAGAAGGCTGGAAAGATAGGTGCAAGTAATTGTTGAAAGAGACTGTTATGGAAGAAGCAAAGGGGGTTGACTTTGAATACTCTCAATTTTTTTAAAGAGAGGGCCAGGTCACAGTCCCTCAAACTGTTGGAGGGCCGGATTATAATTTGGAAAAAGCATGAATGAATTC